CACGGACTCCTGCATATGTCAAATCAGGGAGTCTGGCAGTAAATCAGGGAGTATTTGACTCCGGACTCGCGTTAATTTCGCACCCTATAAACTTATAATACGTATGGTGATCATCATGTCATGTATATTATACATGCTCTTGATATGTGTAAACGTATATATATCAGGGTTCTCCAAGCTTTTTCATTATAGCATGGCGGGGGCTGCCTTTACGGTCCTAGTTGCAAATCGCCGAAGGCGGTTTGCGTGCTAGGGGGGTCCGGGGGCTATGATATTTAGAGTGGCGGGTGCATTTTAGGATGGCGGGGCTCGACGATGGCCTGGCGGGCCGCCAGGCTATAAGTGCTCTTGGAGAACCCTGCCACCCCCATACACAATGCAATGCTGTACACCCAAGCCCCGCCCGCAAACACACACACACACACACACACAGACACAGACACAGATGCACCCGCATCGCCCCGCACACACGAGTTAAAAATGAAGTTGTTATTATTAAGCAAACTCGCCAAAATAAAACCGGCTGTTATATTTCACGAGGAGAGAAATGAACATGGAGGAGGAGGAGTAGGAGGAGGAGGAGGAGGGGGAGGAGGTGTAGGAGGAGGAGGGAGAAGAGAAGGATGAGGAGGAGGAGGAGGAGGAGGAGGGGGGAGAAGGAGGAGGAAGAGGAGGAGGAAGAGGAGCTGGAGGAGGAGGCAGAGCAGAGGAGGAGGTAGAGGAGAAAGAGGAGGAGGAGCTGGAGGAGGAGGCAGAAAAGCAGAGGGCAGAGCAGAGGCGAAGGAATAGGTGGAAGCGCAGGAGGCACAGCAGAGGAGGGGAAGGAGGAGGAAGGAAAGGAGGAGGAGGGAAAGGAGGAGGGGAAAGAGGAGGAGGGGAAGGAGGAGGAAGGAAAGGAGGAGGGGAAGGAGGAGAAAGCAGCATTGGGGAGGAGGACATTCATACGAAAACAGAGCCAGTGGCGGGAACGAGAAAGAGGGCTCTGGGAGAGAAGCTGCGTGTGTGGAGCGTTCGCACGCACGCACGCACGCACGCGCGCACACACACACACACACACACACACACACACGGCGTGACGCGAGTCTGGGAGCAAGCAAGAATGACGACGGGGGGAGGCGGTGTTAGTGACAG